TTTTGGGGTAGGGGGGTCAGTAGGTACAATGTATAATTTTTGTTAAACAGCTCCACTCAGACTCATCGAGAACTCCCCAAAAGATTCGGCAGCCTCTTTGTAAGAACGGGTGCCCCATTTGTCAAATGCATGACCAGACTGGGTAATGGTACTGACCAGTGCACATTACACCGTATAAAACTTCTGCCTTGCTTTGTCAGCTTTATTCTGGAAAAATCCGTTACGGTCTAAATTCTATAGCATTCCATGCGCAAATAGGAGAAGTAGCTTTCTGATTTATTTCTTGTTTAAATGTTGGCCACAATTTTCATCAAATAGAAGATGAGATTGTGATCTAAACAACTGCATATTTTCTTTTATTTTGGGAGATAAAGAAAAATCAAACTATACCAAAATAGTAGGTTTTGCCCCACCATGAAGGTAAATCTGGTCCCCTACCGCCCCGAGTTAATATACCGTATGAAGTAGATTTAGGGACTTGACAAAAGTTTGTTTTTTTCCAAAGCTTAACTATTTTTGTAGTCTCATTTCAGGACTAGCAGTATCTGACCTGAGCTCACTGGTGACCATGATCTGGCTCAGTATATTATGTTACAAGCCGCTGTTCTACCACCCAGAGCTGCCCTTTGACCCGATGGACATCATGTACCTCACAGGAGCCACGCCACATGTACTCTTTGCCAAAATCTCCAGTTTTATCACCGCATTCATCACCTTTGAGCGATGTTTGTGTATAGCAGTACCTCTGAAGGTTAAGATGATTATCACACCCGTAAGGAAGAAAATGATAATTATTTCTATCTACATTGTCGTGTCCATTTTGGTTATCCCCTTCTGCTTCGGAAACAGACTTATCTGGGCTTTTGATTTCACCAGGAACGCTACAATACTAAAAATTACCTACACGGACGAGAGAGAAATACTAGAAGCGATTACGTTTCTCACCCAAGGCGTATTTGCTTCCGCACTTTCTTTCGTCTTTGTGGTCTGCTGTACCATTGTTCTTGTCATCAAACTCAACAGCAAAACAAAATGGCGTCAGGCAGCCAGTGCTGATCATGCAATGGAACGAGCTGGGGTCAAAGATAAAAAGGTTGTGAAGATGGTGACCTTCATTGCCGTCATTTTCATCATCTGTGCTGTACCTCCTACCGTATTCTTTATGTTTATGGCGATAGAACCAGATTTCCGTTTCGACGATACATATTATAAAAACCTATGTCAAACCGTCTGGTCTTTAACGTTTTTAACAGAAACTGTCAACTCCAGTGTGAATATGTTTGTGTATCTGAAAATGAGTTCGAAATACCGAGCAGAATTTCTGAAAACGTTTTGGGGGAAGTAATGTGCTAACTAGAAAAAGGAAAAAGAAAATAAATCTTGATAACTGTCTAGAAAGGTACAGCAAAAATAAACTCTGGGTACAAATATACTAGGTCTCGTTCAGTCAAAAAGAACAAATAGACTTAGGAAAACAATGGTCTCCAGGCAATATTTGATTTGAACTTCCGTTTCCTGTTTTTTCCCCCTTTTAGATCAGAAGCTCGAGTGTCAGCTTATAATTTTTTTGGCTACAGTTCTAAAATAGTTTATCTTGTAGCGTGCTATTGCCAATGATTGTCTAGTTGTCCACAGTTGATTCGTTCTTCAGTGTAACAATCTACTAAACGAGAATCAAGCAATCACCTTCTTCAGTTTTTCCGCACTTTTCACCTTTTGGACACAGCGCGTTGTAGATTTTTGAAAATTATTATTATATATTCTTTTTTGGGTATAAGTAAGAGTTTCATGGCACTTACAACATACGGTTAGAGGTGTTATAAGAGAGTAGCAATCACCAAAAAGAAAAAAAAGGAGGGTGGCTAAAGCTATTCAAGCTGTTTAGAGTGTTCTGTGACTTCTAACCACATAGGCGAAGCTGTATAATCCACACTGTCCATGACAGTCACCTATTTTCAAAAAGAATAATAAGTCGTCTCATACAGGTGGTCCTCATGCATAGTGCCGTTTTAAGAAAAATATAGAAAAAAACCCCTACCAAAACAACCCCGTACAAAACAAAACAAAACAAAACAAAACAAAACCCCATGGGATAAGTGGGAAGTGTGTACATGTGGTTGTCTTGGGCAGGTGGTCGTTAGAGTAGGTTTAACTGTATTCTAAAAAAATACATGTGAACAGTTTTGCAACATTTTGTTCAATTGGAATACTAATTAACAATAATTTTTATATTAAGTTCAATACGATTGCCACCAGTTGTGCTGCAGAGATTGACGAGCTATACAAGATTTACGCGACACCAGTGCAGTAACTCTGTGCAGCTGTAAAAATTAAGGTATGATATTGCGAAGATGTGCCCAGACTTCAGACAGTAATACACTGTGGTAGCCTACTTTTCTGATTTTTCGTGATGGAACGGTGAATAAAAATATCTATCTATCTAGACCAGTGGTTTTCAAAGTGGGCGCTACCGCCCCCAGGGGGGCGGTGGCGAGAGTTTGGGGGGCGCTGTGGCGAAACTGGGCGATTGGGGGGCGCTTGTGGGCGCTAAGGGGGCGGTGTGAAATTTTCATGACATGCAACATAAAAAATGATGAGGGGAAAAAAGCCACATTATAAAAGAACAAAAACAAAAACAAATATTGATAGCTTAGGCATAGTTTACACTTATAACTAAGAACTTTCTTTCCCAGT